TTTCCTCATGTAACAATAAGCAAAAACAGAGTCAGGTGTTGTTAGGTCAGTTCCACGGGTAGAGCCTCTCTGCATCCCAGGTCATTGGAAGCTGTTGATAATCCTGACCTGAGAGAGAATATTAAAGGCAACTGGAATCTGTGTTTTATGGCACAGTTAACAAGACAGATTATTGGAAGATGAAGTTACCAACACCTTTTGGTCAAAATGATAAGCTTTGCTTATATAAACTGGGTCGTTAACTAAATTACATTGAGGTATTAAGCCTTTATCTGTGGTCACAGGGAAGTGTCAGTAAGACTATAGAAATTCAGCCCCTAATCAGTTCCTCACATATGAGAGCTCTCAATATAATGGTAGAGAAGAAGTACAACTGTGAATACACCTAATACAGAGGAACTGATACACCTAAGGTTGGATTAACTTCATTTATAGTCTCAATGGTAGCATGTAGCTCTGTAATAGTTTACATATTGTAAGAAGATCAATATCCTGCAGGGTCAAAAAAAAATCCTACAGATAATACTTCTTCTACACTCTATGGAGACACTTTGGAAATTTAGGAACATTTGGATTGCAAAATTAGATGAAAAATATTTCCTGAAATATGATTAGTGAGGAAGAAGTCATCCGTCAGTCTCAGAGATTGACCTAAGAGTCATTAGAAACATTTTGCATTTTGTAGGGTTGAATGTCTAGCACACTCTCCTTAGCTTTGGCCTTTGTCAGATACTAAGGCCAAAAAAAAAAAAAAAAAAAAGACAGAGGGCCAAGGTTGCTGGTCATGTGTTAGTACAAAACACCTGACTTCTTTCCCGAGACAGGTCAGGTGTTCAGGATAGTCACTGAAACTATAGTATTTGCACTTTACTCTTTCATAGGAGGTACTTGACCAGTGAGCTGAAATTCTTATGATTTTAAATTGTGAGTGTTTTGGCAGTATATGCCAAATAATTATGCGAAGAGAAGTTCCGGTTTTAGAATGAATGCTAGAAGACTTGAAGATACACCACGTATGTCCAAATGTGAAGCAACCCTGAATATAAAATAACTTTCTTTTCCAAAGGTAAAAATTATCCAGAAAGTTCGTTTTTTTTTCCTTTGGCCAACATAGGCATGTACTTTGTGCCAGGAAACATGCTAGGTTCTGGGATACAAGGAAAAAGTGAAAACAAAAAACAAAACTCACAAAAGACAGAAATCACTGCCCTCCTAGGGCCTACATTCTGGCAAATAAATTATACAGGATGTTAAAAGAGATAAGTGCTATATATAGAGAGTAATGAAGTAGGGGGAAAATCCAGGGAACGCTGGCTGTGTCACTGGGTGTGCGCGTGTGTCTGTGTGTGCACGTGCGCGTATGTGCGTCTGTTTTGGGGTGGGGGCGTGTGCGCTTCACAAGGTGGCAATAGCGTGGATTTAATGAGGTAAGGGAGTGAGCCATGCAGTTAACCAGGGGAGGAGCACAGAGCTCAGAGCCCTTGAGGGAGAAATGTGGACGGCTTGTCCCAGGAATAGCTAGGAGGCCAGTGTGGCTACGCAGAGTGGGAGGGAGTTTAGGAGTAAGGGCATAGGAAATGCGGTTAGGATGAAAAGATGAAAATCTAGGTTGACTAAAGGTCATATGGAGGACATGTAGCCACAATGCATATTTAATCTATACATTTGTCACATGCAGATGGAGAGGGGCCTTAGGGCATTGTTAGGATCTTGTCTTTTAATGAAATGGGCAGCTTGGAGGATTTGCAGGGGAATAACATGAAGAAAGTTTTAATTTTTTTAAACGTTTTATTTATTTTTGAGAGAGAGAGAGAGACAGCATGAGCAGGGGAGGGTCAGAGACAGAGGGAGACACAGAATCTGAAGCAGGCATCAGGCTCTGAGCTAGCTGTCAGCACAGAGCCCAACACGGGGCTCGAACCCAGGAACCGTGAGATCATGACTTGAGCCTAAGTCGGACGCTTAACTGACTGAGCCACCCAGACGCCCCATGAAGAAGTTTTAAAAGGATTCTACTTCAGTTTAAAAAGGACCTTTTGGCTGTTGAGAGTAGATTGAAGGGGACAACGGACACCAGTTAAAAGATGTGTGTAATAAACCAAATGAGAGATTTGTAATCTGTTGTGTAAATGTACATTTTAGCTGCTTGCTTTTTTTTTCTTCAGTTTTATTGAGACATAATTGACATACAAGGTTGTATTAGTTCAGGTGTACAATATAAGCATTTGATACATGTATATACTGGGAAATGATTGCCGAAATCATTTTTACATCCCTCACTTCACATAGTTACAGGTTTTTTTCTTGTGATGAGAGCTTTTAAGATCTACTTCCTTAGCGACTTTCAAATGTATTATGTAGTATTTATTAGCCACAGTCACTGTGCTATATATGACATCCGCAGAACTTATTTTATGTTATAAGTTTGTACCTTTTGACCACCTTTACCCAGTCCCAGCAAACCTCTATCCCTTACCCCCTTTGCCTCTGGCTACCACCAATCTGTTTTCTTTATCTATGAGCTAAGTTTTTAAAAATTCCGCATATAATTGAGATCACGCAGTATTTGTCTTTCTCTCTCTGACTTACTCAATTAGCATAATGCTCTTGGGGTCCATTTGTGTTGTTACAGGTGACAGATTTCTTTTTTTTTATGGCTTGATAATATTCCACTGTGCATTTATACTTATATCTGTATTTTTAAAAGTCTATTAATTATGGACAGACCCTGAGGTTGTTTCCATGTCTGGGGGTGCAGGTAGCTTTTTTAGATGATGATTTTTTGTTTCCTTTGGATATATACCCAGAAGTGGAATTGCTGGATCATATAAAAGTTCTAATTTTAATACCTTGAGGAAACTCCATACTGTTTTCCATACTACCTGTACCAGTTGATGTTCCCACTGACACAATGTGGGGATTCACTTTTCTCCACATTCTTGCCAGTACTTCTCTCTCGTGTTTTTCGATGATAACCATTTGGTAAGATGATATATCTCATTGTGGTTTTGATTTGCATTTCCCTGATGGTTAGTGAGTGTTCATTTGTTGATGAACATTTGGGTTGGTTATTTTGGGTATTGTGACTAAGGCTTCTATGACTATTTGTGCATTAGCTTTTGTGAGGACATACGTTTTAAGGGCTCTTAGCTGAATCTCTAGGAGTGGAATTACTGGGTTGTGGGACAGATCTACACTTAACTCCAGAGAAATCCCCCAGAGATTTTTCTAATGTGGTTTTGCTGTTTTACATTTTTGCATACAGTGTATGAGAGTTCCAATTACTCCACATCCCAGTGGGTCCTTCATCTTTTTGATGTTAGCCATTCTAATAGGTGTGTAATGGTATCTTACTATGCTTTTAATTTGCATTTTTTTCTGATGGCTAATGCCATCAGATGAGGAGTGTCTGGATCTTAATATGCTTATCCAGAAAGTTTATTTTATCCTCTTTGTTGACACTTTGGTTCCTTTCAGCTGAGACTTATAGTAACTTTTATACATTACATTTACTTTTTCGGTCCTGGCTGATAAGTTTTTTAAAATCTTAACTTTTTAAAACTTTCTGACCCATCATAACTTTTCAAAGTACTCAAAGAATATATTATGGTTTATTAAAGGTTGGCAGTGGCTTATGTAGTCTCACAGTTTTGTTTTTGGGAAACGTGTTTAAAATGGAAAGGTATAGGGGCACCTGGGTGGCTTAGTCGGTTAAGCGTCCGACTTTCGCTTAGGTCATGATCTCGCGGTTCGTGGGTTCGAGCCCCGCATCGGGCTCTGTGCTGACTGCCAGCTCAGAGCCTGGAGCCTGTTTCAGTC